CTAACACACATCCATCAGACCAGAACTCAGACAGAACTCAGACAGAACTCAGACAGAACTCAGACAGAACTCACCGAGAAACAGCAAATACCACTCACTACACTCTACGATTGTATATATATTGTTTTATAGTAAACATTAAAACATTGTTAATAAGGTGTGTTAACCTCAGTCTAAAATCTTATCACATCACGACTCTTCGTGCATTAAGTTGAACGAGGAATAGCGAACGCAAACGATCCGTTGAACCACGGACAGATCGTCATCCTGCGTCGCAACATAAAATTGGTCCTTCGAGCCGGATCCAGTGCTTTGGAAGAACAACAGCACCAAAGTCAGTCCGGAGAACTCATCACGAGAAGCAACAGCACCAAAGTCAGTGGCATCAGGAGTGTCACCTTTGGAGAGAAAATCACGAGCCGTCGTCCAGCGCATCCAGTCATCGACGCCGAAGTCTGTGGCATCAGGAGTGTCACCTTCGGGAGAAGACACCAGCGCATTTTGGGTCCAGCACGGTCAGCCACACTAACGGAGTCGGTCACTCAGACAGAGTGACATCCAGCATCTAACAGCATCTTGAGCGAGCTCATCAAACGCCAGGTTGCAGACGTCGCGTCGCATCGAAACGTAAGTCCACACCCTTGTTTTTTGAGTCATCGGTAGAACATATTTTTTAATCCTATTCCGAATCCAATCAAATTCACATAAAATGGCTCCTAGTCATGAAGAACGAATTAAAAATTTGAAATTGAGACGCGAGGCGTTCAAGATAGAACTCGAAACTTTTAAAGTATTGATTGACAACTTCGTTGAAGGAACCTCAGCAACGACTATCCGTGTTCAGTTAGAGGAGTTAGAGTCGGAATTCGCAGCTTTCAACAAATCGCAAACCGAATTAGATAGTTTAGAGGAGGGTCAGCTAATGCGTGAACGCATCAGTATCAAATCAGCATTTTTGCAATGTAGAGCACAAGCCTTAGATATAATCGAAGCAGCAACGACGTCACGGTCAGGGAATAATTCGCGAGACGCGCAACATACGCCCCACTCGCAGGTAGAATCAACCGAAAGTGAAATTACATTGCCTAAAATCAATCTGCCAACATTTTCGGGCGCGTACGAAGATTGGCCCGGGTTTGCTGACCAATTTCGCTCGACGGTGCATGACAACGTACGCATAGACAATTGCAAAAAGCTAATGTACCTTCGGTCGTGTCTAAAATATGAAGCTGCTAAAGCAATCGAATCACTCGGTAACTCAGCAATCAATTATACGGTTGCTTGGGAAATTTTAGAACGACGGTATAATCAGCCTGCAATAATCGTAGCCAACCACTTAAGGATATTGTTTGAGATGCCACAAATTAATCGCCAAACACACCAAGATCTCCGATCATTCTTGAATAATATTGAAATGCACTATCGCGCCTTACAAGCGCTAAATCAACCAACCACAGATACTCTACTTTTACATTTATTCACAACAAAGACAGATCGCGAAACCACGTTAAAATGGAAGGAACATACGCAACACACAGATTTCCCAACTGTAGAAGAATTATTTAAATTCCTACACGACCGGTGTAAGATAATCGAACCCGCAGGCTCGAATTGTAATAATCATTTTAAAAACATAGCTCCACAAAGTAACAATCGCTTTCGAAATTATTCACCAATTAATAATAGAATGCCCATGCGCGAACTGCGTTCAAATACAACACAAGCATTTGTTACTCAGTCTCGTATGCTTTGCAATTTTTGCACGGGACCTCATTTCTCGCAAAATTGTGAGAAGTTCACTTCGCTGTCCGTACTAGAAAGAGCTAGGCTCGTAAACGAGAAAAAATTATGTTTCAATTGTTTACGGCGAAACCATGGCACGAGCGAGTGCCAAGCGTCTACCTGCAAGCGATGCCATAAACGACACCACACATTACTCCATACAGAGGCAGGCAACTCTTCACAGCCAATTCAAACTAATTTAAATTGTCTTTCGATCGATACTATACCAAACATCATGCTATCCACAGCAATTATCCACGTACTTGACAACACCGGGAAATCGCATTCTTGCCGAGTACTATTAGACTCGTGTTCCCAAGCTCATCTGCTGAGCGAACGATTTTGCAAGCAGTTAGGGTTAAAAACGCAAACAGTCTCGATTCCCCTTTCCGGTACCAATCAAATGGATTCCAAAATTAATAAACTGACTACCGCACACATCAAATCACGGTATAACAGGTATTCCACGACGCTTACATTTTTAATCGCGAAACGTATATCACATCCAATCCCATCTGAATCCATAGAAAACACTAAATTTAATATTCCAACCGGTATCCAACTAGCAGATCCATATTTCAACCAAACCCAGGAAATAGATGGACTCTTAGGGGCCCAAGTATTTTGGGATCTCCTATACGGGAATAAAATCGCAGTAGATGGCCAATTAATCACATTACGTGAAACCGGGTTAGGGTGGATCGTAACGGGGGAAATTAAAAATAACACTCAATCGCACAAGGTAGTTTGCAATCTAACGCTGAAATCATTACATGATGACATGCAACGGTTTTGGAATCTGGAAGAGTGCCCTGCCTCAAAAATTCTTTCGTCAGAAGAACAAGCTTGCGAAGATCACTACACAAAACACACCACTCGAGGTCCATCTGGACGATACATTGTCTCACTTCCCCTCAAACATACAGAGCTCAGATTAGGCGACACGTACAACGTAGCATATACCCGATTTTTAGCGCTAGAACGGTCCTTAGATAAACACGCGGATCGAAAAGCACAATACCGCGACTTTCTAAACGAGTACGAAAATCTCGGACATATGACTGAAATTCAAGACGAGCGCACTGTCGGTTGTTACCTTCCTCACCATCCAGTCGTCAAAACGGACAGTATCACGACTAAGATACGAGTCGTATTTGATGCGTCAGCGCGTTCATCGTCAGGCACCTCATTGAACGACATTCTCATGGTCGGTCCGACAATACAGGATGATCTGTTCGCTATCATCATGCGATTTAGACTTCATAAGTATGTGTTGACCGCGGATATCACTAAGATGTATCGTCAAGTAGAATTGAACATGAACGACCGGAAATATCACAAAATATTGTGGCGCGAAAGCATAAACGAACCAATTAAAGTCTATCAACTTAATACAGTCACGTACGGTACTGCGTCTGCACCGTATCTAGCAATTCGAACGTTACAACAACTAGCGCATGACGAGGGTCACAGATTTCCTGTAGCGGCACGCAGTTTCCTTAACGACTTTTATGTTGACGACGTGTTAACTGGCGCGGAGACAATAGAACAAGCTATAATACTTCGGGACGAACTCATCAAATTATCCGCGAAAGGAGGCTTCGAACTACGACAATGGGTCTCCAACGAGCCTAAACTAATCGAGTCGTTAAGGAAACTAAATAACACCGATCACATAGCTCTAGACGCGGTAGAAGAAAAGAAAACCTTAGGTTTATATTGGAATGCCAATAAGGATACGTTAGGATACTCGTTAAAGCAGGCCCCAGCAAAGCAAAAAATTACAAAACGCACGATTCTCGCGAGGGTCGCACAGTTATTTGACCCGCTCGGTTTACTGGGTCCAATAATTGTGCAGGCAAAGTTAATTATGCAGGACCTATGGAAATGTCAGGTAGAATGGGACGAAGACGTACCGATCGGCATTCGCACCGCGTGGACGACCTTCCATTCGCAGTTACAAAATATACGCCAAATTCAAATCCCTCGACGCGTTATTGCAGACAATGCCAAAAACGTGCAATTACACGGCTTCTGTGATGCAAGTGAGCGAGCTTACGGAGCCTGTATATATATTAGAAGCACAGACGCATCACATCATTATACCTCTCAGTTGTTATGTTCAAAATCGCGTGTAGCTCCTTTAAAAACTCAATCATTGCCAAGATTAGAATTGTGTGCTGCGGCGTTGTTAACTAAATTATACAATGTAGTGGTAAAAACACTAAAAATCAAGTTCCAAACCATTACATTTTGGTCAGACTCAACTATAGTCCTTCATTGGATCAAGACCGCACCACACACACTTAAACCTTTCGTTGCCAACCGCGTAAGCGAAATTCAAAAGGATAGTAGGTACAACCAATGGCGCCACGTACCATCAGAATGCAATGCAGCAGACGTATTGTCACGTGGATTAAATCCAACTGACATAATAAACCACCCCACTTGGTATCGCGGACCACAATGGTTATCTCAGTCAGAGGACACATGGCCGTATCTTGAGATACAGCCAATAGAAATTCCCGAAAAACGAACGGTGATAGTTCTAAAGATAACAACACAAACAGATTTAACGTTGCTCGAGAAATACTCGTCATTTACTACACTTAAACGCGTTATGGCATATTGTTTACGATTTATAAACAACACACGACAACAGAAGAAACACACGGGTCATCTCACCACTAACGAATTGACACAAGCTACGGTAAAAATAATTGCACTTGTTCAGAAGATTGCATTCCCCCACGAGAGGCAGGAAATACTGAAATCATTAACTCACACTCAGAAAAACAAATTAGCAGCGCTTGATCCATTTATTGATGCCAATGGAATCATTAGAGTCGGTGGGAGATTAAAACATTCAACAATCCCACACGAATCAAAGCATCCAGCAATTTTACCACACTATCATCACATCACAAATTTAATTATACGCGAAGTACATATTAAACATGGGCATAGCGGAATGCAAAGCACGCTCAACGCGGTAAGACAAGCGTTTTGGCCGATTAACGGGAGGGTCATAGTAAAATCGATCATTAAGAAATGCGTAACGTGTCACAGAATGAAACCTGCAATTCCACGTTACCCTATGGGACAACTTCCAGGTAACAGAGTCAAGTTTATTCGACCATTCTTAGTGGCTGGTGTCGATTATTGCGGGCCACTATACATCAAAGAAAAGAAATACCGGAATACGAAAAAAATTAAAACGTACGTGGCAATTTTCGTTTGCTTTAGCACAAAGGCAGTTCATATAGAGCTCGTAAGCGACCTAACATCGGAAGCTTTTCTTGCAGCCTTAAAAAGATTCTTTGCACGACGGGGAAAATGTACAGATATATATAGCGACAACGCAACTACATTCACCGGAGCGGATCGTGAATTAAAGGCAATTCACAAAACCTTGACCGTCGACACGAATAATAATGTACATAAATATTTAGTAAATAATGGCATTAACTGGCATTTTATTCCTCCTCGGGCTCCTCATTTCGGCGGGTTGTGGGAAGCTGCAGTAAAATCATGTAAACGCCATCTCTTTCGCATCATGGGCAACAACTTATTTACGTTTGAGGAACTATCAACCTGTCTAATCGAAATAGAAGCCATATTAAATTCAAGACCTTTAACTCCACTATCTTCCGACCCAAATGATTTAACTCCTTTAACACCTGGCCACTTCCTAATCGGTGACTCAATAACAAGCACCCCGGTGTGCGACCTTACTAGTTTGAAGGCAGGACGATTATCGTCCTGGCAACAGGTACAACAAATCCGACAACACTTTTGGAAACGATGGTACAAGGAGTACCTCAATGAACTCACCGTTCGGAAAAAATGGCATCATGCAACCACCCGCATCATCAAGGAAGGCATGTTGGTGATGCTAAAGGACGACAACGCACCACCCCTCCATTGGCCCATGGGACGTATCATATCCATCCATCCAGGAGAAGATGGGATCATTCGTGTAGTTACAGTAAAAACTATTCATGGAGAATATAAGCGTAGCATAAAAGGCATCGCGCCATTGCCGATAGATTATCCGGAGACATTAGAATCTTAGAAACTATGATATTAAATTTAGAGATAAGGCAACTAGTATAATAAGACACTTAAAACACAACAAACACGACAAACACATACCACACATCGTTTTTTATCTCGCCAATCACATATCTGATTATTGAACTAAATAGTTCAAGGGGGGCGGCATGTTGAGCCCCAACACAGGTAGCTCCAGAAGGTCGTAGCAGCCGAGCATTTTTAGGCTCGGCAATTACCACTCTTCGCGACCAGTATTGCCCCATAAAAACTTGACCTTTCCAACAGCTGCACATCACGTACCCATCACCGCAATAAACCCATTACCTGCTAGCCCTAACCGAACAACATTTCCCAAAATATTTAAACATTCAAGCTCCGCCTCAAGACCATTTTCAGATCCACCCTCACAACACAACCGACCAATCCTAATTCTTACAATCCACCTTTCCCCAAAATATCAGCAGCCAATCCCAACCTTAACCTCCTCGACAACGACGCTAACACACATCCATCAGAACAGAACTCAGACAGAACTCAGACAGAACTCAGACAGAACTCAGACAGAACTCAGACAGAACTCACCGAGAAACAGCAAATACCACTCACTACACTCTACGATTGTATATATATTGTTTTATAGTAAACATTAAAACATTGTTACAAAAGGTGTGTTAACCTCAGTCTAAAATCTTATCACATCACGACTCTTCGTGCATTAAGTTGAACGAGGAATAGCGAACGCAAACGATCCGTTGAACCACGGACAGATCGTCATCCTGCGTCGCAACACTACTATTAGAATGTACTCTTAAGTTAGAAATATCTTCGTGGAATAAACGTTTTTTAAATAAATGGTTAAAACAGCACCGATTTCCTTTAGGAACATATAATCTTCTCATGAGAAATACTTGATGTCTAGTTTCGATTGGTACATTAATGAGAGGTTTTGAAGATCCACAAACGAAGCAATATTTGTGTGTTGAAATGACTCTAGAAAATGGCATTTCCACAAATTGTGATTCGACTGGTTCAACGCTAGTGATATCCATAATAAACGATGAATCCTGCACGGAAGAGACTGATGGAGTAGATGTAGAGGGAGATTCCTCTGAAGAAGATTGCTGAATGGATTCTTCAGGTGACGATATCCTGATTGAAGATGATCCCGGTAAAGATATTGGATAGTTTGATACTTCAGTTGAAACAACATGAAATAAAGAAGATTTTACTGAAGAGATAGTTTCACGTGAAGATCCGACTAAAGGAAGGCCGCTAGAGGTAGAAGGTACTTCTGAAGAAATAGTTTCAGTGGAAGAAAACATTCCACTTGCAGAATGAGATTTAAATAAAGAAAACGATTTGAGTACGAAAGGGGGTCTGACCGAAGAAAAAGTTTCGATTACAGAAGAAGAAACTTCTATTGAAGTTTCTCCAAGCTGAAGAAATTCTGGAGAATTACTAACATTCGTAGTTTGTACTATTTTATGCATATAAACGCGACACTTATTACACAATATATCACCTATACTCACTGCTCTTTTAAGATTGGTTGAAAACAGTACTGCTTCAGCTTCCGTCTTGATTTTCTTAATCTGACCAGTCAATTTACGAATTAACGAATGACAACGAATACACTTAACACGCAAGGTTTTCCTTCCAACAAATTGTACTTTATTACTAGACATATTGAAAAATGCAAAGGGAAAGAATGTACACGAACAAAAAAGTTTTAAGAAACAACTTATTAATAATAAAGTCACTGGCGTGAAAGACAAAATGATCATTCGACGGAACTCCGTTATGTTTGATATTTCAACCAAGACTGACAATTTTTCCACGCGTTTACTTAAAAGAAGATTTCCCATGGACAGTTAATGGAAGGGATGAGGTGAGGGTAGAAATAGTGGGTTATTGGTTGCATTTCCGAATTTTAAAAAACCTGAGTTCCTATTGGTGGGTGAACAATTATCCTTTCCTTACTGGCTGGTTTTAAAAATAATGGAAACACTTGTAGGACCACACTCTACGGACCATGCCAAGTAATTATGTATAAATCCCATCGCATATAGTAGCCTGAACTGAGTAATTAAAAAATAAATCTATTGTGACTCTTTTCCAAACACTGAAAACTGACACTATTATTGCCCATAGCAGTTATAAAGAACTAAAATCAGTGAAGCCATAAATTCTAGATATATCTAAAATCCTCATTTGGGAATTTTCAGCACTAGAGTTTACGGTACGAATACCTCTACAACGCTATTTTTAAAAAACGGATGAAGACATTAAAACGTTACTGTGGATAACTAATCCTCAGTACATGTTTTCAGTGCTTTGCTCCTCCGTGCACAATAGTAATTGACGTATCATAAATACATTGTGGAACCTGAACGCGACAATCACGCATTGACCTGAACGGTCTGGGCCCTCACCCAACGAACCTTTATTTCCTTCGTAACGCAGGTAGGACAATTAATCATTTTTCCCCGTTCAAAAATAAGCATGAAACGATCAAACTGGTACTTAAAAATGGGTTTATTAGAAAAAAGTATCATTGGCAGAGAGTGGGTTAATAGATTTGGCGTGGAATGGCCCTTACATGTCTACGTTAGATACTGAAGCCGTAGCAAACATTCATATTTATCAAAGAAAGAGAAAAAGAAGGAAAGATCTGCTTGATCGAAGGGCGAGAAGAAGTAATAGTAAGCCAATATACAATCTTCTGCTCCGATCCATTCACAGTAGTCAAAGGTAAGAGATTTGAAAACTAACATTTCACATTAATTTCAGTGTAAGAGATGTTAAACAATAATCGTGGTTGACAAAAAAAATAAAAACGAAAAAAACACTCCAAAACTATATTTATACATATTTCAGGTTAAAATATTTGTAAAATGCTTTCAGAACATTTATAAATAAATATAAAGCATTGTTATATAGTTAGAATTTGAAAAAAAAAATAATGAAGGAAAAAAAATCCTAAGTCCAGAAGAGAGACTCGAACCTATGGTAAAAAAACTTGCAGCGGTTCAGCAGTCGGACACTCTACCAACTGCCCCATCGACGCCGTTGAAAATATCGTTGATTTTCTAGGATATATTGCGCTTAACGGTTGGCTTTATTTTATTTGTTTCAATTGTTATGTAATTCTGCTTAGTGTAGAAACATTAAACAGTCTACAAAACACTTATATATTGAAGGATGCATAAAAATTCAACGTGTAAGTTACTCTAATACGCAGAAAACGAGGAAAAACTCGGTTTTTATTTTTTTTCACTGCGGCGCACCAAAATGAAAAATCTGAAAAAAATTGAGAGTAATAGTAATAGTAATACCTGTTTACTGTAAAAGTATAAAAGTAGTTCCGGGCCTCCTTCAATACGTAATCGGCATTTTTCGGCATTTTTTGCTGTTTTTTATTTTTCACTACCTGGTTCTTCAATCAAAAAATCTGAAAATCTCCCAAAGTATGTGCCCCGGTACCCGAAATGTCTCTGAATTTTTTTACATTTTTTTACTCAATAGGTCAAGAGAAATAATTCAAAAACATGATTTTCGTTTTCACCCCATTACTACCCCCACGGTCGAGATTTCAAGTTAAAAATTTGCACACATGGGTTATTTTTTTTTGCTATCGAATGACCCCTGGCTCGTTCCATTCGGTTTGGGGGCACATTTGACCCCCTTATTCGGCTATACCCTTTCCGAAAATAGCTGGCTAGGCTCATAAACTGCCGTACCTGCTTGACATTTTCCGGGGCCCGTGCTTCTAATAGTGAATTTATTTTCGCCGCTCCCGGTCTAATTCCCTCGGCCGAAACTTCTCTCCCCAAATATTCGATGGTCGTTTTAAAGAATTTGCATTTCTTTAAATTCAACAAAAATCCGGCTATATCTAGAGCGAGCAAAACCTGTTCCAGCCGCTCAAGACCCTCTTGTACGGTCTCCGACGGAATCAAGATATCGTCTAGGTATACTAAAGCGAATTTATAACGCAAATTGCGCAAGGCTTTATTAACCGCACGTTGGAAAACAGCTGGGGCATTAGTTAGGCCAAACGGCATACGTAAAAATTCATAATGCCCGTCAGGCGTAACAAATGCCGTCTTTGCTATCGAACCTTCCGCAATTGGGACCTGATAAAATCCCGAGGCCATGTCTAAAGTCGTAAAATATTTTCCCATACCTAACCGATCTAATTGATCTTCTATCAGTGGCAGGGGAAAGCGATCTTTGACTGTTATTTTATTTAACGCGCGGAAGTCAACGCACATACGGTCCTCGCCGTTTTTCTTTTTCACGAGGATTATCGGGCTAGCATAAGGTGACGTGCTCTCGCGTATTATTTCGTTCGCTAACAACTCATCTATAATACCGCGAACCTTTTCTCGTTCAACTAATAATAAACGATAAGGATGGTAACTCACCACGCGGTCCTCACAATAGACATCTCCCCTGTACTTACACGTCGTACGCTACTACCAGAAGTCAGCGTATGTCGGTACCGCCCTAGCAGCGCTGCCACGGCCTCCTTCGTTTTAGGATCTTTCTGGCCCACAGCATAGCAGAGAGGATCAGCGGCGGGAGCTTCTTCGGTGTGCACCGGTCCGTGCCCCACCGTTGTTGTCTCATCTGAGTCGGTGACCATGCGTAGGCCTTTCCCAACGACGAAATTCTTCCCTATGATCACGTCATAAGGGATTGTCCTGTCCGGCACGACGTACAAATTGGTTTCGGCTGACACGTCCTTGATTTGGACCATCGCGGAGGTATCTCCGATCGTAATCTTGGCCGAATCCCCAAAGCCTCGCAAGGTGGTGATGCGCGGGATGATTCGGCAGTTTGCCTGCATGGCTACCGACTCTTGCACTATAGAGCAAGCCGCACCATTGTCTAGCAGATAGTTTTCTACGAACAGGCCCTTTAGTAATATCGCGGATGGTTTGTGAATCACCGAATAACACACGTTCACTTGATTCTTATTGTCCTTTGTATCAAACTTCCTTAGCACCTGTTTATCTCGACTCGCCCGTCGCTTCGCCCAGCAATTAGCTTCCTCGTGCCCCTTCTTCGAGCAATAGGTGCAGGTAGGGGCACCCCTTTTTATGGTCGTCGACCCTTGTCTCGGCGGACTATATCTCAACGGACTCCGACTCCTGCCCTTCCGTTGTCTCGTACATCGCCTCGCCGTATGCCAATACTCGTTACACGAGTAAAACCGTTTCGATGTTTGGGACGAGTGCTTGTCTAATTGCCGTTTTTCTCCTCCAGTAGCGACAACCATTTTATAATCACCGATTCCCATTAATAACTCAGACGTAGCACTAAAACGAGCATTTAACATGGCTTGTCGCACATTTACATCGCTTATGGTGCTTATTATTAATTCTACATATTCCTTTTCCGTGAACGACACACCTGTTTGTTTTAGATATGATAGTTTTGTACGCGCATAATCGGCGTAACCAACCGCGGTGTCACTCGCGTACTGCAATGCACGCAGCAACCGGTCATGCAGCTTCCGTTCGGCAACAAAGCAGTACACAGGTCCTCTCTAAATTTCTCCCATGTACATGGTCGAGCGTCCCACTGTTTGTACCATGTCTTCGCGCGTCTCGTCAATGCGTGTGTTGCCAAGCTCAATCGCTGCTTCGGCACTTCCCTGGTGATCTCTTCAACTCGATCGTACCACCCTTTCGCATCGTCTCTTAGGTCCTCACCACTGAATTTCGGCACGGCCGAAACGGTCAATGACGTTGCAGCCGACACCGATGTTGAAGCCACACTGTCACCAAGTCTTTGGAGCACGCGACGAACTAAGTCCTGTATACTCAGCTGAGACGGGTTGCAGTTTTCCATAGTCTCTCTCTTTTTTTTTAAACACAAACACAAAATACAAGAAGGCAAGAAGAGAATGACTAAAACGTACGCGTATAATCCTATGCGATGAAAATGATTTGCTCTTCAACACAGCTACATAGTCAGTACGCAATTTCACAACACAAGTGCGCACAGAGTCACTATCCCACTTCTGATGATAGAAATTTTGAAAGAACCACTCTACTCAGTGCCGGTTCTGGGGTAAGTGTCAAGAGGTCAAGCTTAGTCCTTTTACCAGAAGGCACCCTTGCCTTCGCCACTCCGTGGCCAGATCCTCAAGGAACAGAGTTTCTATTCTTTAAAGCAAGACAACGTCGGGTCGCTTGTTTTTTTCTAACATACCTACGTTTCCTTTCAACAAGCAATCCTATGACGCCCGATAGCTGGGTGACTTCGAGTCACCCGCCATCGACAGGCATCTGGATTGTGTCCTTGTAACCATCCCTCTTGGGCTCTGGATTGTTATGCCGTGTGTGGTTGTTAGAAAGAACTGAGTCTTTTTCGTGTAACAAGTAACAGTTTATTGGTGCCACAAATACGGCGTTATCACCGGCCGAATTAACTTTAGCTGATTGTTTCAAAAGGAGCAGCGACCGTGAAGATGACAATGTATTGTACTTGGCGCGATCGATTTACTCTGAGTTTTTGCGTGATTCTCTTTCTGCGCGTTCTAATGATTCTGTCTGCGTATTCGAAAGATTCGATAGATTCTTAGTGAGTTCGAAGAAATTCGATGGATTTTTACTGCGTATGCGAAAGATTCGATCGATTCTCGATAGCTTCGAAAAGATCCTCCTTTTCTGCCTCGGGGTAACTTCGCTCGTCACCTCGCAGAGTCCTCGATGAGGCCCATTTTCGGGGGAAGCGCGCTAGGATTTGCGGATTGACTTGAGGGAGGAGGATCTTCTCGTACAACCCTCCCGTAGTGGAGGAAGAAGGCCCCACCCCCAAGTCGACCCCGGAAAATTCCCGAAAGTGGCCGAACTCCGCGAGTGACGTCACCCCGAAGCAGCGCGGTGACTTGGGCCCGAGCGGCCCATTAACGGTTTGCAACCCCTGGTCCGCTAACGGGATAGCGGCCAAGGGGTACGCGCGATTCTTGGGCGGCCAAGTGGCCCGCATGGCTACAATGCCTTGGCGCGAGGAACAAAAGGCCCCTAGAAGTCTAAATCCGGAACCCTCGCGTACCTCGCAGGCGGCATACGGCGCGATGGGAAACACGGATTGACTTTATGGCCACTTTCCAATGCCATCAGCCTAACTCCTGAAGCGCACGTGTTCGACACTTGAGGATTAGGCATTCTTCTAAATGGTCGAAGGGCAGCAAAAAATCGAAAAAGGGCCTATTCGCGAACAACAAACCCGGTCTGGAAAATACGACTCCGCAGCTGCGACCCAGCTGAGTGCCTTGTCCAGCAATTCGGAGGACTAACGGTACCATCGAACAATGTGCGTAAAAATACCCAAACGAGGGAATGAGGCGTCGCTCGCCTCTCGGAATCGAACATGCTCCCCCCGTTGAATAATAGAATTATTCAAAAACAAAATATGACACGATTTAAGGCTGCGAAACAGGCCGAGAACTTAAACGATAAAAACCTAACGCGAATTAAATCATAGTGCTAAAAGGTAATACACTAAATACCCAAAAAATATAAAAAATAGCGCGATTTTTCCGACACTAATAACAAGAGCAATAATATAAATCTTTAACCTAGTTAAATAAAACATGATTAACCTACTACAAATGGAAGCGTAAAAACATATATGCGTAAGAATTATTGCGACATAGCTTCGATTGGAAGCGGCGCAAGTTGTTTTACATTGCGCTTATAAAGTCCGTTAATCGTTCTGACAGTTACAGCGCGTACGATGTCATCTGGTCCAGGATGTATTTCCTCGACGCGTCCCAGATTCCAATGCGATGGCGGAAAATGGTTGTCCTTTAAGACAACGATGGTTCCCGTCGTAATTGAATGAGACCCTTTGGTCCATTTGGCGCGAACATTTAATTGGTTGATGTATTCTTTAGACCATCTGGCCCAGAAGTCTTGTTCACCTTTTGTACGTGCTGCCATTGGGACAGCCTGTTGTTGGAGGTCATAGTCAAATCGACCTCAGGTATACTCGTCAACGCGGTTCCTATGAGAAGGTGGCCGGGAGTAAGGGCTTCGGGATCATTAGGATCAGATGAAATTGGTGTCAGTGGACGGGAATTAAGGACAGCTTCGATTTCCGTTACAAAGGTGGCAAATTGTTCGAATGTAAATAAATCATCACCGACGACGCGTTTAAGGTGATGTTTAAAGGACTTGACCGATGCCTCCCAGAGACCGCCGAAATGCGGGGTGAGAGCTGGCATGAAGTGCCACGATATTTCTTTATTTGTCAAAAAGTGGCGTATTTCCTCGTTTTTGTGCAGTACTCTGGAAAGCTCAGCCAGTTCATTATTGGCACCTACAAAATTGGTACCGTTGTCGGAATATATATTTTTGCATATTCCGCGACGCGCGATCATCCGCTTTAATGCGGCGATAAAAGCTTCAGTAGTCATATCGCTGACTACTTCCAGATGTATGGCCTTACTGGCAAAGCAAACAAACACCGCGACATAGATTTTTACCTTCGTGCTATTTCGGAATTTGCGTTCTTTTATATAAAATGGGCCGCAGTAATCTATCCCTACGTTAGTAAACGGTCGCGCTTCCGTTACTCGATCCGCAGGTAGACTGCCCATAACGTAATGAGTCGCCGGAGGGTTTGCCCTAAAACATTTTACACACCTTCGTATAATTTTGCGCGTGGTGTTTTTACCATCGATCGGCCAATAGGTTTGCCTAACGTAATATAGTGTGTTGTTAACACCGGAGTGGTGGTTTTGTAGGTGCGCGTTTCGAATAATGAGTTCGGACACATGATTATTTTTTGGCAATAGTATCGGGTGCTTTGTTTGATACGGCAAATTTGATCTTTGGAGACGGCCTCCAACGCGTAATATCCCTTTACCATCTAAGAAAGGACTCAAGCACAAAAGTTTGCTCTTTGCAGACAATTCAGTTCCCGGTTTTAATGCGCGGATTTCGTCAGCGAATGACTGTTGTTGTACGAGACGGATAATTTTTTCGGTTGCGTATTGGATTTCTTCCACAGAAGGTGGTTCAGTGCAGCGAATTCTTCTTAAAAATCTCAAGCAATAGGCGATGACTCTACACAGACGCTTGAGACGCGAATATCTGTTCAAAATCTCGTAAGGTTTAATGATGTTAGACGCTAAACAGGTAACCTTACGCACTTCAGGCACCTTTGATAAGATTTCTAATTTCGATTTAGGCCAAAGTGACTCGTCAAGCCCGAGCCAATCCGGTCCATATGCCCAGCAATTGTTGTTGGTTAATTCTAGTGCCGTAATGCCGCGTGATAAAGTATCTGCTGGGTTATCAGTGGTGCGGATATGCCGCCAATCATTTATGCGCGTTTTCGTCTGAATTTCAGCGACACGATTCGCCACGAAAGTTTTTAACGTACTGGGGGATTTCATAATCCAATGCAGCACGACAGTCGAATCCGTCCAAAACGTTGTTTTCGCGATTCCATTAATGAGAGAGTTTTTGACGGTTCCATACAAATTAGTTAATAGATTGGCTCCACAGAGTTCAAGACGAGCTAGACTTATGGTCCTCAAAGGCGCGATTCTTGATTTCGCACAAAGCAATTGTGTTTTAATTTTCCCAAATTTATCGATACTGCGATGTATATTGCGGCTCCATAGGCGCGTTCGCTAGCGTCACAGAATCCGTGTATTTCCGTAGTTTTAACAGCGCGTTGGGAAACATGTCGGAATAAATTTAACCTGTTCTAATAATTTTAAATCGGTTTGATATCGGATCCAGTCAGTCTGTAGTTGCATGGGCACTGACTCACCCCAGTCTAATTTCAATTGCCACAGGCGTTGCATCATTATTTTAGCGTTAACGGTTACTGGACCTAAAAGTCCTAGCGGGTCGAAAATGCGTGCAATTGTGGATAAAATGGCGCGTTTAGTTACTTGTTTTGGCAACTCAAGATTTACGGAATACTGGATTTTATCGTTTCGCGGATCCCATGCAACTCCTAAAGTTTTGACTGTTGTGTCCCCAAAGAATTTCGGATGAATTTGATCGTCTAATAAACCGGTCAATAATTTAGGATCATTGGACACCCATTGACGTATATTTAACTCTCCCCTTTTTAATAATTTTATAATTTGATCGCGTAATCGGATTGCTTCGCGGAATGTGGCGGCACCGGTCAAGAGGTCATCAACATAAATGTCTCGTTTTATGACTTCGGATGCCGCGCTATAATTGTGAAATTCGTCATCTGCAAGTTGTCGCAGGCATCGCGTTGCAAGAAAAGGCGCGGCCGAGAGACCGAAAGTTACTGTCTTTAGCTGAAAAGTCGCGATTTCGTTGTTTGTATTACGCCAGAGAATTTTCTGGTACGGTCTATTTTGCGGTCGAACTAAAAATTGACGATACATCTTTTCGATGCCACCAGTCAATACAAAGGCGTGTAAGCGGAAACGTAACAAATGGTCAAATAGATCATCCTGAATAGTAGGACCTGTAAGCAACGCGTCATTCAGCGATATACCTGTACTCGATTTTGCCGACCCATCGAAAACAACTCGAACCCTTGTCGTTTTATTGAATGCTGTGTAACCCTGTACAGGATTATTAGCAACGCATATAAATGCGTGATACATTTTGAATATATAACTACATTGAGATTATCCGAATACACTTATCCATAAAGAATTATAAATTACAGAAAATCTGCTGATTTAGATTATATATATATACAATGACTTTCTAGAAATTTGAAAATAACCATTAGCGAGGAGATACTTGGTCGAAAAAGAAAAGTGTTAACCGTGTAAGGGGGGAAAAAATTTAATGAACATAGTTTAGTAATCATTTCGCTTCTGCCAACATCAAACTGTGGGCATTGCCAGATAATATGATTAGGCTCTTGTTCAGGATAGCCGCAATCACATTTGGGATCAGAGGCAAGGTTGATTTTATAGAGAGAGGAGGCCAATTGTATATGGTTAGCACGCAATCTGTTAACAAAGATAATAAATTTTCTGGGAAGAGATTTGTGTGTGAACCATGGGACCGACAGAGAATTATAATACCTTTCAAAATACTGTGAGCCTTTATAAGTGGCCTGTACGAATAAACAACTTTCAGTTTTGGACTTAGCCGACCTTCTAAAGTTCTGGGAGAAGTCTGAGTGTGGGACTAAAATGTCACTCCGAGCGGAAAGATTAGAAGCTTCCTTTGCCAGTTTATCTACTTCCTCATTAAAACAAATACCAGAGTGAGCCGGAATCCAATAAAAGAAAACTTTTTTGCCACGAAGGGAAAGATTATGAAGAATTACTTTAATATCACTAATAATGGGATTTATTTTGACGCCAAAGTGAGGGTTGGAGATTGTGAGTAGTGCACTAAGACAATCTGAATATATAAAGATATTACTATATGAGTGCGTGGAAGCAAATTCCAGGGAGATTTTAATTGCTATGCTCTCTGCAGTAAAAGATGAAATAAATTTATTTAAACCTAAACGAGATGAAGCGTCCAGTTCAGGAGAAAGGAACGCAGCACCGACACGTTCCTGATCATGATCCCGACTCCCGTCAGTAAAGAAAGAAATGGAGTCGAGTGCTTTGGAGTTCCAGTGGTCCATAAATGTGATATTGGGCTTAGGAGAGTTTTTAATTAGGGCTCCAAGCTCAATGTCCAGCTTAGCTCCTGAGCATAAAACATTATAACTCATAGTATAGGAACGAAAGTTAGTTTCGAGCCTGAGGAAATCTTTAAGGGGGAGAAACGAATTAATTTGAGATGGAATCATCGAAAGGGATTTTTGAAGTATGTTATTCCAATGTGGGGATGTATGGAGTCCGGTTATTACTTTATATAGATCACCCTGTTACGACGCGAAACAAACAGTACAATTTATTCTGTGTTGCAGCGTAACAGTAAATTCATAAAGCCATCGGATGTAGAGTCAAACCTTTTCATGCCATCACGTTTTGCCTATAACTAAGTGCCATTAAGGCTGCTAGTTAAGTATTAAATTCATTTCAATCTGCATGGTCCTCCAAATCCAGGCGTTCTATGACTTTACTATCTGCAATAACCAGAACCCCAAGGCCAGATGTTTATGGCGAGGCAGGTATTGCAGGAAACATCTGGGCACCAAGCGCGGACCTGGGCCCGGAGCCGCCTCGCCGGAAAACCCCAGACGAGGGAAAAATTAGTAACAAGACCCGTTACATACCGCCTCCCACCGACCACACTGATTGGCAGTATTTTTGCACTATTTTGACCAATCGACGACTTACGCTGCCTCCTATAGCCTTGGGTACGCCCATAGCAAGGTTAGCTGCTTAGAAACCCTTGACCGAGACGGCAGATCAAACTTGACTGTTAAACACCACGCATCTCTAGTATTTGAATACTTTGTATATTTCGGCAGTCCGACTTAGAAATAAACTTGTTATTTGTTTGTTACACTAATTCACTGATTGTGCTGCAAGCACTACCTTCCGTATCCTTAAAAAATCAGTCACTCGTCATTAAGGTTAACGTGTGACGTGAGCATACTCGAAAGTTTGTTTCAATAAATTAAAATCATTTTGCTCACCCCTCAACATGGTCCTTCGAGCCGGATACGGAACTGCATAAACGAACGTTAATAAACTCAGTGAACAAGCAAGTGTGAAGCCAACAATACAAGTGACAAGCATACAGTCATTGTGAATTCCAAGGCTATTGTACGGACGTCCCATTTGGAAAGCTGCCGTTTGAGAAGCCAACTATCAATATCCTGGTGGATATCCCGTTTGGAAACCCACCGTCGTCGGACAAGCAGAGATTCCAATTCGTTGGTGAGCATCCCGTTTGGACAGCCACCGTTGGAAACGCCGAATTCCACATCGTGTGTGAGCATCCCGTTTGGACAGCCACCGTTGGAAAGGCCGAATTCAACATCATTGGTGAACATCCCGTTTGGAGAACACCAGCAGCCGAACAAGGATCTTCGGCACCACGTGGAGAACACTCAGTCAAGTAAGAAGCTCAGAGAATCTCCTATCAATCCTTTAAACGATCTTTCATTCTTCTATAATCATCAAGTCAATTCTCGTACGTACTAAACAATTAACGGAGGAAAATGGCTGCCTCTGCACAGCTCAAAACATTAAACAGAAATCGGGCTATTCTTAAAGGTAACGTAACGCGGTTAATTGGATACTTTAACTCAAACGTCGATATAGAACTCGATGACGTTCAAACGCGCATGGTCAAGTTAGAAGAATGTTACCAAGCATTTTCAAAGATTCAATTCGAAATAGAGATTCTTGCCGAGGAAGCCCAAATAGAGTTAGATCACGAGACAGAAAGAGCGTAATTTGATGACCAGTATTTTAAATGTGCTAAATTCATTAATCAGCGTCTTCGCGAACTCGAACCGTCTCATGTAATTGCAGAACCGGGTAGTTTA